CCCCCCCCCCCCCCCCCCCCCCCCCCGCCACGGCCCTCTGATCACTCCCACTACAGGTTTCCTCCCACTACTCCCAACAAAACACAGCATCCGGGGTAATCTGATGGATTGCTGATGGCCGCCTGACCGCTGGCCTAGCCCAGTCCGCTTGTCCAGCTCTGTTCCGTGGGCAGGAGGAGGGGGGAAATTCTTGTCTTAATTGGACTCCGTCCCTAGATCTCTGTTAGGAGACAACCCCCCGCTTAAGTGCGTACACACTCACACACCCGGGCATGGATCCCTAACCCTCTCTCTCTCCCCGAAGCCCTAATGAGTAGTGGGGTTCGATTTCCACCCATCTCCGGGGTCTGTTGCGGGTAGGGCGGTAGCGCCTCTGGTCTGGGTCCCCCTTTCCCATCGGGGCCTCCTGGGTCAAGCAGCCCTGGTCATAAACGGGGGCCCCCCAGGTGGAGGCGCTGACACGGCAGCCTCGTGCCACGACAGTGCACGCGGTGCGCGACACGGAGTTGGCGAAACTCCCGGAGGGCACGCTGGGCCACATCAAACGGCGATACCCGCAGGTGCGGCTCCAAGCTGTGTGGGCTGGCGTCCTGGTGGGGGGCGGGGCTCGAGGAGGCAGAGCCTAATAGAGGGGTGGGGCGGGGGGGGTGGGAGTCTCAGGGAGGAGGCAGAGACCCTCGAGTTAGAGCTGGGCTCTTGGGAGTGGGGCCCAAGTAACGGGGACCCAGGCGCCCAGGTAGGACTCGGACAGTTGCCCCTCGCGTCTCACTGGAACGCCGGCCTCCCATGCCCCAGGTCGTAACTCGTCTCATCCACCTGCTAAGCCAGAAGATTTTAGGGAATTTGCAGCAGTTGCAGGGACCCTTCCCAGGTGAGAGCCCGCCGCCCGGGGCATGCTGCGGGAATGTAATCCGACTCCTGGAACACACCGGGAGGGGGAGCCCTAAGCCCTGGGCATGCTGGGAAATGGAGTCCGGCGTAGGAACTGCGCTCTGGGTGGGGCTTAAAGTAGGAGTGGGATCTGATATCCGGTGCCTGTTTGGAGGGCTGGGGGGTGGAGTTCGGGGTCCTGGGCATGCCGGGGAACAGAGCCCTAGACCCAGGCCATGCTCTTGATGAAACCTACAGTGTCTGTCAATGTCAAATGACGGAGTCTTTAGGGGCAAACTTGGTTCTGGGTGTGAGAGCTTGCAGGCGGGATGGAGTCCACGTCCTGAGCACGCTGGGAGAGGGAGTCCTGGAAGAGTATGCTGGGACATGAAGTCCGTGGGGGTGGGAGCTGGGGGCTAGGGGCCAGGCTGGGAACTGGCTGCTGAAGTTACTGGCGAGCTGAAAGGTGTAGTTTGCCGAGTTAGGGTACATCGGAATGAAGTCGGATTCCAGGTGCATACGGGCCTGAGAGTCTGTAAGGGCCAGCCGACCCTGGATCAGCCCAGCCTCTACACCTGCTCCTCCTATCCCCCAAGGTCTTCTGCCCCTTCTGCCTTGACACCTGGATGGTGGTGGCAGTGGTGAGCCTTGGCTAAGAACCACCCCCATGCTCAGGATCTTCCCGGATAGATTTTTTCTCCCCAGTCTTGGCCCATGCATGCAAATGCCTGTTCATTTCCCATCAGGCCATTGGTCCATCCTTTTCACGATTGTGGGGCAGCCTTGCTGGCAGAAACTCTCTGTTGATGAGATACAGAAAAATTTTCCAGAGAGCACCTAATGTATACTAGGCCCTGTGCTGGGCACGGGTGGCAGGGGGAGGGGGGGGAAGAGTGACCAGGCAGATGAGGCTCTTAGAAGGTTTACAGCTGGGCAAGCAACACATTTGAAAAATACAAAGAAGAAGTGTGACATCACAAGCTGACATGTACAGTGAAGAAAACAGAAGAAGGTCTTGATGGAATGTGATGGAGGGAGGGAGGGAGGTTGTTCTGGGGGCAGTGAGCTGGGACTAGACAAATGAGATAGGGCGTGGCATTGATGAGAACTAGGAAGGCCCTGCACACAGGGTTTCGTGGGTTTGAAGCACTTCAAAGAGAAAAGTGAAGAAGGGGGAGATATGGGGGGAAGGGGCAGGTCACGTAGGGACTGGGAGCCCCAGAAAGGCATTTAGGCTAATTCAGGTTGTTAGGGGAACGAGCTGGAGGGGAGGAGGCAGTGAGAGATCCATGCAAGAGGGAGGTGAGGGCTTGGTCTAGGGTGTTAATGGAGAAGCTGGGAAGCAACAGATGGGTCAAAAAGATGTTTGTTTCTGCCTCGTTTTGTGTTCAAGTCCCTTGGGTGGACGGAAGCAGCAAGGCCAGAATGGGGTAGGGGCACAGATGGGTCCATGCACGCACAGTGGAGGGCTTGTTAGGGTTATGTAGCGCGTCCTGTCGAGATGAGGCCCTGAAGTGAGGGTCGCATGGCTAGGTCTTATCAAGACCGGATGAGGGGACCGGATGAGGCTGTGGGTCCAGGCCTGAGGCCACAGCCTCTGCTGTGGCTTCACTAGGTTAGCGGGGCAGGGACTTCTGAGGAGGGGGCAGGTCTGCCTCTCCAGGCACAGGACTGCACCTCAAATCTCCTTCCTTGGGGTCTCGGCAGGCTCAGGACTAGGCGTGCCCCCTCCCTCGGAGCTTACCAACCCAGCCAGCAACCTGGCAACGGTGGCCGTCCTGCCGGTGTGTGCTGAGGTGCCTATGGTGGCCTTCACTCTGGAGCTGCAGCATGCTCTGCAAGCCATCGGTCAGTGGGGGAGGGGGGTTGAGGACAGGCCATTGGTCTGGGGGGGTGGGGCTGTGGGGGAGGGGGGTTGAGGACAGGCCATTGTGGGGGGGGGGGGGGGCGGGGGGGGAGGTGAGGACAGGCCATGGGTCTGTGTGGGGGCTGAGGCCGTATTGCGGGACAGGCCCCCAGTTCTCTGGACCTGGGTGTCTGACTCTCCGTCCTCACCTATCCCCAGGTCCCACACTCCTCCTCAACAGTGACATCATCCGGGCCCGCCTGGGGGCTTCTGCTCTGGATAGGTATGTGTCCAGAGTTTGAGGAGGTGGGGGATAGACCTGAAGTCTACAATTCCTTCAGGTCTGCTTGAGGTCTGGGCTGTGAACCAAGGACCATGGGTTCCATCCCTTCAGTCTGTGGGAGACCGTGGGTCAGATCACCCCGAGGGCATGGACATGGTGGGGCTTGGGTGTCTAAGTGTACGTCCTCCCGGTGACGGAGGTGCGGGACCCCGGACGAGCGCCCGGGATGACTCTCCGCCGCCCCGTTGCAGCATCCAGGAGTTCCGGCTCTCAGGGTGGCTGGCCCAGCAGGAGGACGCGCACCGCATCGTTCTCTACCAGACCGACGCCTCGCTGACACCCTGGACCGTCCGTTGCCTGCGACAGGCCGACTGCATCCTCATTGTGGGCCTGGGCGACCAGGAGCCCACTCTCGGCCAGGTCCGGAGTCCATGCACAGGGACACCTCCACCCCCGGAGAGCGTCCTCCTGCCCTCCTGCGCCTGCACCAGGCCCTGTGCACCTGTGGGGTGGCAACCAGGGACCCAAGCTCACCCGGGCTTGGGGGAGGAAATGGCCGAGGGTTAGTGACTTCCGTCCTCCGTTGCCCTTCCAGCTGGAGCAGATGCTGGAGAACACAGCGGTGCGCGCCCTCAAGCAGCTGGTCTTGCTGCACCGGGAGGAGGGCGCGGGCCCCACGCGCACGGTGGAGTGGCTGAACATGCGCAGCTGGTGCTCGGGGCACTTGCATCTGCGCTGTCCGCGCCGCCTCTTCTCCCGCCGCAGCCCCGCCAAGCTGGTGAGCGCTGCGCCGGCAGAGGGGCCCTCCCGGGACCGCCGGCCTCTAGGGCCATTGGCGGGGTGGTGGGGGGGCTCAGAGACCTGTGGGGGCAGGAGCGGTGGTGTGGAGGTCCGGACACTGTCTCTTGAGCCCCCATCCTCATGCGTCGCCTCTCTGTGCCGCCCCCCCTTCCCCGTATTCCAGCACGAGCTCTATGAGAAGGTTTTCTCCAAGCGCGCCGACAGGCACAGCGACTTCTCCCGCCTAGCGCGGGTGCTCACCGGCAACACCATCGCCCTGGTCCTGGGCGGGGGCGGTGCCAGGTGAGGGGGTGGGACCTGCTCCCCGGGGCTCGCCCTGAGGGGTGGAGCTTATCTCCCGGAGCCGCCCTGTAGGGGTGGGGCTGGCACTTGTTCCTTGCCGGTGCGGGAGGTTGGAGAAGGGGAGCTCTGAGGGTCGTGGGGCATCTCCAGTGGGTCCCTGGGTTTTCTCTCCCTGGCAGGGGCTGCTCACACATCGGCGTGCTGAAGGCATTGGAGGAAGCAGGGGTACCTGTGGACCTAGTAGGCGGCACATCCATCGGCTCCTTCATCGGGGCCCTGTACGCGGAGGAGCGGAGTGCCAGTCGCACGAAGCAGCGGGCCCGGGAGTGGGCCAAGGTGTGGGGGGCCACCTACCGCAGGAGTGCCCTGAAACCTGCTCCCTGAGGGGCTCCTGGGCTGCTTCTGCCCCTTTCCTGACTTCATCTGTGAACCCCTCCTGGCCCATGGCATTCCCTCCACAACCTTGCTGACCTGACCTCCTGGTTGGTCACCCTAGTCCCCAGCTCCCTGCTGGAGCGATCAGGACCCTTAGTGGTCACCTTGTTAGTGACCCCAAGTGGCTTCCGTTTGATCCCAGCCGGCATCCTTGCCCCTAGAGCATGACCTCGGTGTTGGAGCCCGTGCTGGACCTCACGTACCCTGTCACCTCCATGTTCACCGGCTCGGCCTTCAACCGCAGCATCCACCGGGTCTTCCAGGACAAGCAGATTGAGGTCTGCCCTCCGTCCTCGCCTGCCCTGCCCCTGCCGCTCCCCGCGGGAGTCCCCGCTCCTCTCCCAGCATGGTCCTTGTCTCCACAGGACCTGTGGCTGCCCTACTTCAATGTGACCACGGACATCACTGCCTCAGCCATGCGTGTCCATAAAGACGGTGGGTGCCCCAGCTGGCCCCACAATGACCTCTGCGGCGGTGTGGGGAGGGGGTGCAGGGAGGGCAGCCGAGCATCTGGGACATTGTTAACATGAGTGACCGTCCGCCCTGGCCTGATTGCCGAGCACTAACCATCACCCACTAATGCCCCAGAGGCCCCAGGTATGTCTCTCCTTGGGGGTGGGGGGGCTGGGGGACGAGCCGGGCGCCTCACCCCCTCACGCCGTCCCCGCAGGCTGCGTGTGGCGTTACGTCCGGGCCAGTGCCTCCTACTGCCCCTACCTGCCCCCGCTCTGCGACCCCAAGGACGGGCACCTGCTGGTGGACGGGTGCTATGTCAACAACGTGCCAGGTCAGCGAGCCCACCGGGCTGGCCGGGCCTCCGAGCATGTCTGAGCGTGTCTGTGCGTGTCTGTGTCTGTGTGTCCCGCTGGGCAGGCTCCCTGTGGCGCTACGTCCGCGCCAGCATGACGCTCTCGGGCTACCTGCCGCCGCTGTGCGACCCGAAGGACGGGCACCTCCTCATGGACGGCGGCTACATCAACAACCTGCCAGGCAAGTGGCTGCCCACTCACCCGCACGCACGAGCATGCACAGGCGAGCACGTGGACGGGCGCCCAGGAGGGTGTGTGCATACCCGTGTGCAGCCACAGACCAGGGGAGTGCCCGGGGACAGAAGCGCGTGGAGCCGGAAAGCACATCCACATGCCGTGTTCAGCGTGAATGAACGCGTGTAGACACACGTGCATGCAGGGACAGCAGGATACCCGTCCGGGTTCACGTCAGCCACACCTGTGCTCACGCGTTCTCACGGCTGCTCACAGTGCAGGCGGCGTGTTCTCACACATGCACGTGGCCAGACCCATGTGCCCGTGAAATCAGGCATGCGTCCTTGCACAGCCATCTGTCCACATGCACACTGCACGCTGTCTCAGGTGCACACAAGTGTAGGCACACAGATGGGCACGTGTGTGCCCACGGTGAGCTTCCGGCTCTGCAGACCTCTCGCCTGCTGAGGAGCGGGGGACCAGCTGTGCCCCAGAGAATGTCACGTGCCCAGGAGTGAGCACACCCGAGTAGACACGTGTGCTAGCTACACATACACGCTCTGTGTTGGAGGCCGGAGATCGACCAACTGCCGCAAATCCAGCCCCTGCCGGGTTTTGTCAGGAAAGGTTTATTGAACACAGCCACATCCAGTGGTTCAGGCCTGGTTTCTTGGCCGCCTTCGTGCCTCAGCTGCAACACTGAGTGGTTGGGAAAAAGTTATTTTCTCTCTGACCGCTTACAGAAAGTTTGCCAACTCCTGCCATGTGTGCCCTGTACGGATGCCCACGCTAACAGCCACGTACATGAGTGGTGTGTGCAGATCCACAGGCGGGCAGTGCCAATCTAGACACGTGTGGAAAGAAATGCGCTCAGGCCCAGGGGTGTGTATAGAGCTACAGACAGACCCAGAGGTGTGCATGTTCACACACGGGAGACACACATACATGACAGCTGCGTGCAGCCACGTGGATATGGGGACATGTTCCTAGATATGGGGACATGTTCCTAGACACACAAATAGGCTCATGAGGGACTCATGCAAAGTCTGCTGGAGACTCGGGTGTCCTGCTGGGCTGGGCCTGGCTTTGGGGCCCTGTCCCCATCTCCCCAGGCTCTCCCAGACCTGCTCAGGGACCCTCCATGGGACACACGGACACACACTGACCCACAGACACACCACCCTCCTCGCGGGGCCATCACCCACCCTTCATGCCTCTGTCCTGTTTCCCTGAATCTCCTTGTTCTTAGACATTGTTCTCTGTCCCCATCTCAGCCTCACATTTCCCCCCAGATTCTCTGTCTTTCCATATCTCTGATCTCTCTTTTTCCCCCATAAATCTGTTGGTGTCTCCACTTCCCTGCATCTCTGTTCCTTGTGGCTTGACTTCTTCACCTCTCTGCATGTGTTTTCTTGCCACTTGGACTGCCTGCCTCTCTGACTCTGTCTTCCTGTGTCTCTGTTTCCTGGTGTCCTTACCACTCTTTATCTCTCCACATCACTCTTCTCCACTCCACCATGTGTCTGACTTGGTGTCTTTTATTCCCAGCAACTTTGCCCCTTTGTCTCCATCCACTCCATCCGTCTGGCCCTAGTTCCCCAGCCTTAACAGTTCCACCATCTGACCCCACCTCCTCAAGGTCATGGGCATCGGTGCCTGTGCCCTTTACATACTGGCATGTTTGCATGGTTTTTTTGTGTGTGACCATTTGTATGATGGTGTTTCTGGGACTGGGTTGAATGTCCCTGCCCTGGGCCTTGGTGGGGAGCTGCCTGCTGACACCCCCCGGCCCCACAGCGGACATCGCCCGCAGTATGGGTGCCAAGACAGTCATCGCCATCGATGTGGGAAGCCAGGATGAGACGGACCTCAGCACCTATGGGGACAGCCTGTCTGGCTGGTGGTTGCTGTGGAAGCGGTTAAACCCCTGGGCCGACAAGATCAAGGTTCCAGACATGGCCGAGATCCAGTCCCGCCTGGCCTATGTGTCCTGCGTGCGGCAGCTGGAGGTCGTTAAGTCCAGCTCCTACTGCGAGTACCTGCGCCCACCCATCGACTGCTTCAAGACCATGGACTTCGGGAAATTCGACCAGATCTATGTGAGCGGGTGGGGTGGCAAAGCTTTACTACCTAAAGCCCACAGCAACCCCGGGGGACAGAGCATAGGCTCCATTCCCAAGTGGGATCCGTGAGGAACAGAGTGCTGATCGATTTGTGATGTCTGCAGTGAGTGTGGCCAGGGAACGTGGCTGTGTGTGTGCTGTGTACGCACTACGTTTCCTGCTGGGCGCCGGCTGCGCCGCCCAAAGTGCATTAGAAGTTTCTAATGACGTTCTCGTGCTGGCGGGAATGGGAACAGGCGATCAGTTAGTAATGTGTGTCACAAACATGGGAGGGGCGTGGAGCGACGGACATGCTATGTGCTACTAGCTGCTGATCTGAAAATTGCGTCCTAGCCCACGTCCCCGGAAATTGACCGGGAGTGGAAGTGTGCAGGGATGGATTGGTGATGTCTGTCACAGGCTTGGGAGATGGGGATGTCTGCAGGTGTGTTGTGTATTTGCAGATCTTGAAAGAAGCCGACACACCATTTGGTGCACTGTGTGGGGCTGAGGGGGAAGGCATGTCAGGGGCACAGGGTGAGGAATACGGGGGTGAGTGTGCTGCGTGGGGCTGGCTCGAAAGTACGTTGAGTCTCAGATGCCAGCTCCCCTGAACATCAGGCTCTCGAGGGGCCAAGGAAGGGTCAGCAGAACGGAGATAGGCAGCAAAGGGGAGGCAGAGGAAACATTGGGGTGGGGGGGGGTTGGCAGGCCCAGCTCCAGTCTCCTCCCTTCCCGCAGGATGTGGGCTACCAGTACGGGAAGGCTGTGTTTGGGGGCTGGAGCCGGGGCGACATAATTGAAAAGATGCTCACGGACCGGCGATCTGCTGACCTTAACGAGAGCCGCCGCGCAGACGTAAGCCTGTGACCTACCCCAAGGGCGGCCACTCCTAACAACAGAGATTCCCCCAACCTGGCTGAGGCACCCCCAGAACTCAGATGCCCCCAGACCTCCTTGGATTTAGCTGAGCCCATTAGACCAGAGAGGTCCCCCTCAGATCTCGGGGCCCCAAGACACCACAGCCCCTGACACTCCAGAGTCCCAGAGAGCTCCCAAGACCCTCACCTGTGCCGCTCCCCAGGTGCTGGCCTTCCCCAGCTCTGGCTTCACTGACCTGGCGGAGATCGTGTCCCGGATTGAGCCCCCCACGAGCTACGTTTCTGACGGCTGTGCCGATGGTGAGGGCCCGGGGACACCTTGCGGGGGGGTCACAGAGCTGGGGCTGGGATCCATGGGATATAGAGATGTTAGGCCAGCCTGCGTGATTCACTTTGCCCTGTTCCCCGGTTCCAGGGGAGGAGTCGGACTGCCTGACGGAGTATGAGGAGGACGCGGGCCCTGACTGCTCACGGGACGAGGGCGGCTCTCCCGAGGGCGCAAGCCCCAGCACTGCCTCCGAGATGGTGAGACTGGGTGGCCCAGGCCCTCCACGGGGTGGGGGTGACATGGCGGAGGCGTTCGCGTGTACCAGTGTCCCGTGCCGTGTGATGTGTGCGTGTGGCGCTCCTGTCCCTGCAGGAGGAGGAGAAGTCCCTTCTCCGGCACCGGCGCTGTCTGCCCCTGGACCCTCCGGGCTCAGCTGCGGAGGCCTGAGGACCTCAAGAGGGGTCCCCCTGGGGCGGGGCCGGGGCTGAGCCCGGTGGGGGTGGCTCACTTCTCTGTCTGCTGCTATGCCTGCCACCCTCCTGGGTTCCCCTTGAACCCCAGCCCCCCCCCCGGGGCCCACACACTGGACCGCCCTGCCCCCAAGGGGAGAGGCCACACCACACTGAGGACCATGACCAGTCACTCCCAATAAACCTTTCCCTCTTGGAAGTGGCCTCGTGTCATCTTTGGGTCAGACGGCTGGCGCTGGGCTGGACAGCCTGGCGCTTGTCTTCGTACCCACATGCCATGCTCAGCCTCAGGCCCAGCCAGCTCGCCCCACTGTGCGCGCGCTCGAAATTCCCCTGCAGTCCCCCTCTGTGCTGGCTTCAGACCGCAGGACCTCTGGGGATTCTGGGTGTTCTTGGGTGCCCACCCTGCGCCCTTCATTTTCCTTACCGGACTCCCACAGCCTCTGCGCTCAGCTGGCTCTACTGTGTGCAGGCATTTTGTGTTTCCCATTCTTCCCTGCTGTGTGCACCACAGAGCCTGGTTCCCGGGGGACTGTGCAGCATGCGCAGGCTTAAGGACTTCGAGTGGCTCCCAGGCATTGGCCCTACTGTGTGTTCGGCTGTGGTCACAGAGGACATGCCAATCCCTATGATGCACCAAGACCCGTCCCCAGGGGTTCTCATTCATTGTCTTGGTGCATCTAGACTGTGGAGCAAGGCTGCCTGGTATGAAACCCCAGCCTTGCTTCTTACTGGTGGCCTCAGGCTTGTTACTGAGACTCTCTGAGCCTGCCTCGCTTCGCCTGGGGAATGGGGATGTGGGTAGCACGTGACTCACCCGATGTCACTACGGCCAGGGCCCGGGCCCGGCTCCCTGCGAGTGCCCCCCCCCCACTATGCGCTGCAGGGGGTCCCGGTCACTGCCTTCACCACATGCTGGCACGTGTACAGTTCACTGGCCCTAAATATGCACATTGTTGTGTGACTGTCCCCACCATCTGTGTCCCCACCATCTAGAACTTTCTCATCTGAAACTGAAACTATGCCTGAATTCAACACTGACTCCGCAGCCCCTGGCTCCCACCACCTGCACTCTGTCTCTGTGGATTTGACTCCTCTAGGGACCTCCTGGGAGTGGGATGCTACAGCATTTGACCTTTGGTGACTGGCGGAGTTCACGGAGTATGGTGCCCTCAGGGTTCTTTTGTGTCGTAGCAGGTGTCAGACTGTCCTTCCTTTTTAAGACTGTGAGACTCCACGGTGTGGATGGATCACGTCATGTCTCCCCACTTACCCGTCAGTGGACCCCGGGGTTGCTTCCACTTCTTGGGCACCGTGGATGGCGGCCGCGGCGAACACGGATGTGTGCGTGTCCAGGTCTGAGTCCCTGGTTTCACTTCCTCTGGGTGTGGACCCAGCGGGGAGATTGCTGGGTCATAGGTCTTTCTAAGCTGGACTTTTTGAGGAATCCTCACTCTTCCTCGCAGTGGCTATACCCCTTTCCCCGCCCACCGGCAACACAGTGGCTTTGGAAGGTTTTTGAGTGGAGACTAGTCAGATCTGTGTTTCCAGAAGGGGACAGAGAGTGCAGGGGACCAAGGAGAGATGATAAGGCCTAGGTTGGGGCAGCAGTGGGGGGCACGGGGCGGGGGACACCAAGGGGGATGATGAAGGCACCTTGGTTAGCACGGGTCACGGGAGGGCCATCTTCCCTGAGATGGGGTGTGGGGAAGGACATAGAAGCAGGGGACGGTACTCGGCTCTGTTTTGACCATGTTCAGTCTGAGGCACTTCAGGGACCGTTCAAGGGGAGATGGCAGGGGCTCTGGACGTTTAGGGTGGGGACCTAAAAGAGATTTGTACCGGGAACCAGTCTGGAGACCTCGGGACAGCAGCGGAGATTGATGCCATGGGGGTGGATGGTGTTGTCCAGAGAGGCCACGCTGGGCAAGAACGGCCCCAGGGCTCATGTATGTCATGTCTCCAGACGCTTACCCAAAGACCCCGCACCGCCCCCCACCCCGCCTTGCAAGAGCCCAGAACCAGCCGAGGTGGGCCGAGCACCCTAACTGGGATTCTCTGGGCTTGGAGAGCACTACTCTTCAAGGCAGCCTTGGTGCACCTGGAGCTGGAGCTCCCCAGGCCCCAGGCGTGTTGCTTGGCTGTGGCAGCTGCAACCATGTGCTCTGGCTGCGGGGCTCCAACAGCAGACCTCGATTTCTCAGTTCTAGAGTCTTGGAAGACAAAGATCAAGGTGTCTGCAGGGTCGGTTCCTTCTCAAGCCTCTCCCCTTGGCTTGCAGATGGCCATCCTCTCCCCGTGGCCTCACGGGTCTTCCCTCTGTGCCCATGTTCTGATCTCCTCATCTTCTGAGGACGTCAGTCATACTGGATCAGGGCCCACCCTAATGACCTCATTTTAACTTAATTACCTCCCTGGAGATGCTGTCTCCAAATACAGTCACATTCTGAGGTACTGGGGTTCTTAGTACGGGCTACTCTAATAAAATACCATGGACTGGGCAGCTTGTGCACAACAGAAATTTATTTCTCACACTGAGGCAAGCTGGAAGCATGAGATCAAGGTGCCAACATGGCGGCCTTGTGGGGAAGGCCTTTTCCAGGTTGCTTGAGTGCCGACTTCTTGTACCCTCCCTTGGCAGAGGGAGGATGAGTGATGTCTCTGGGGTTTCTCTTATAAGGGCACTCACTGATCCCTCCGGTGAGGATGCCAGCCCTGCGACCTAATTATCTCCCAGAGGCCCTATCCAATACCATGTTAGAATTTCAACATGAGAACTAAAGCAGAGGACACAAGCCTTCAGTCCTTTGCACGGGGATTAGAATGCCAGCATATGAATTCATGGGATTGGCAGGGACCCAGGCCAGTCTGTAACAGCAGGGAAGACAATTCCAGCTTGGTGAGGCAGTGTGGAGCACGGGCCTGGCGTCAGACCACCTGGTTCAAATGCCCAGTTGTTCCAATTCCTGGATTCTGTAAAGGAAAGAGCCATCTTTTCTGGGCTTTGGCCCCCGTGTGAGTTTCCTACTGCTTCTGTAATGAATCACCACAAACCTGGTGCTTCAAACAATGTATATTTATTTATTTTTATTTTTTAAAGATTTTTAAATTTATTTGACACAGAGAGCAAGAGAAGGAACACAAGCAGGGGGAGTGGGAGAGGGAGAAGCAGTCTTCCCGCTGAGCATGGAGCCCGATGCAGGGCTCCATCCCAGGACCCTGGTATCATGACCTGAGCCCAAGGCAGACGTTTAAGGACTGACTGAGCCACCCAGGTGCCCCCCAACACACATATATTAGTTTACAGTTCCAGAGGCCAGAAGTTCGAAATGGGTCTCTCTGAGCTAAATTCCAGGTGTCTGTAGGGGTGCATTCCTTCTGGAGGATCCAGAGGACAATCTGTTATTTTGCCTTTCCAGCTTCTAGAGGCACCTGAAGTCCTCAACTGTGGCCCCATTCCCTACCTTTGAAGCCAGCGGTAGCCGGCTGGGTCTTTCTCACACTGCATCGCTCTGACCTCTGCTTCCATCATCGTCCCTTTTCCTGATGCTGACCCTTCTGCCTCCATCCTGCAGCGACCCTTGTGATGACATGGGTACCACGGGATTACCCCGTGGGTAATCCAAGATCATCTCAAGATCCTCAATGCAATCACTTCTGCAAAGTCCCTTTGGCCATGTAAGAGGACATATTCACAGGTTCTGGGGACTAGGATGTGGGCATGTTTGGAGGAGATGGACATGAGCTGAGCCAATAAGAGACCGTCAAAAATCAGTTATTAAAAAATATATGTATAGGGGCGCCTGGGTGGCTCAGTGGGTTAAAGCCTCTGCCTTCAGCTCAGGTCATGATCCTAGGGTCCTGGGATCAAGCCCCACATCGGGCTCTCTGCTCAGCAGGGGGCCTGCTTCCTCATCTCTCTCTGCCTGTCTCTCTGCCTATTTGTGATCTCTGTCAAATAAATAAATAAAATTTAAAAATATATATATGTATACACACACATACATATATATTTTTAATTTTTAAAAAGATTTTATTTATTTATCTGAGAGAGACAGAGATAGAGAGCATGAGCATGGGGAGGGGCAGAGGGAGAGGGAGAAACTGACTCCCTGTTGAGCAGGGAGCTCGACATGGGGCTCCATCCCAGGACCATGACCTGAGCTGAAAGCAGATGATCAACCAACTGAGCCACCCAGGCACCCTTATTTATTTTAGAGAGAATGAATATGAAGAGCAGAGAGAGGGGGAGAGAGAATCTCAACCAGACCCCCCACTGAGCACAGATCCCAACTCAGGGCTTGAGCTCACTACCCTGAGGTCAAGACCTGATCCAAAACCAAGAGTAGGATGCTGGTCTCAGGTGTCAGCACCATGGACAGCGAGAGAGCTGTCCCGGGTGCTGCCAAGCCCCCTAAAAGCCTTCCCCTCCTAGCCTGCCCCCAGGAGACCTTTAGGTTTTTGAGGGGCACAGTAAACCAAAAATTCAGTCACAGTTGGCCCCTTGTCGATCTCTCCGCCCTAGTGTCCCTAGTGTCCTTTCCCTCCACCCCAATACACCAGATTCTTTTTCTCAAACTCTCCAGATTCCTGCCTTGAAACGCTTTGTCCTTTGCTCTTTACTCTTTGTGTAGCTGAATAAGTCTTTTCTCAAATACCATCTTTTCAGACTGTCCGAAACTACTGTCTCATGTAGCTTCCTCACCCCACCCGCCAGGTTTCCTTGCTTTTCAATCACGATCTCTAGCCACAGTTGCTTTACATATTATCGTCCTATTTTATAAGAGAGAAAACCGAGGCTCATGAAGGGGTTAAGTTAAGAGATGGAGCCAGGATTCATATTCATAAGCTTACTGTTTCCCAATGCTGTTTCCTCAGGGAGTGGACTTGCTGAGATTTCCATTATAGGCTGTAGTCCTGGGGCCAGCACTTAGTCCTCAAGAAGGAAGTCCTCCATGGGCCTAGAAGGAGCCCCCGATCAGTAGAGCCTACCTCTACAGTACCCCAAGTCTCACCAACTTATACTGGTATCAACCTTTCGTACCTTCTCTTACTGATCCTGGGCAGGATGAGACCCCTGGCACCTTGAAGCTGGAGTGGAGCCTGTTTGGAGGTTCCCCCCTCCCAAATGTATATGTTGGAATGCTAAACCCCAGGACCACAGAATGTGACTCTTTTTGGCAATAAGGTTTT